GCAAAAAGCATCGGTAGTAGACCGAGGCGCCATTAGTATTCCAACTGTTACGCGGACTGTTTGTTTGACGGACAGACTGTCAAGAGTTGGTCCGCAGTTGTGAGTTAATAACGCTTATGAACCAGGTAACTTTATAACGAACATTGTTTAATTGACGTCGTAACTTCTATTATAACAGTACAAAAGTAATGAACGTGTATTGATTAAAATGATTGACTAAGGAAGCTATCACAGGCATTTCTTTTTTATGTAGAAGTTTTTATGTATGTAAGAAGATAGCAAGCGAGCTGGCGGTTCACCTGATGTTAAGTGGTAACCGCCGTACAAGGATATCTACAACGCACGTAGGGTAACAAATGTGTTGCACCTTTCAATAATACGGGGCCCAGTTACTTCACTCACCGGACGAAACGCTATAGTATGTTACGGTGGTAGGGCCACGCAGCAGCCTCAGTTGTTGCACGAATGGGCAGGCTCGTCCGGGTAAATACCACGACCTCACAGAAGACCGGCGTCAAGAGGCAGTATAATACTTTCGCGTTTCGTCTAGTGAGTGAGGTAGTCGGAGCCCAATTTTCAAAAGGTTGTCAACCCTCGGGTGTAGCAGGTTTTCATGGGTGATCATTTTTATTCACTTAACATCAGGTGAACCGCCTGCTCGCTTGGCAACCTTTCACATCAAACACACATTCACATTTTTTTTTTCATATTGGTTTTTCACATTCAAAAAAAAAAACGCAAAAGAATATTACTTCCACTTCACGCTGGTCTTATGTGACGTCGTGGCACTTACCCGGACGGACCTGCACATTCATGCAACAGCGAAGATCGCCGTCCGACCCTACCACAGTTAATTGATGTAGGCGGGTAAGAGCAGCACCACTTGCATTGCAGTTTTAATTACTTTCTCCGTCTCTCTCCCACAGCACGATTAAATGAAACTATATTTATGGACTTTATTCGTACACGTGTCGCTGCTACGGTACGGGAAAGCTGCGACAAAATATGTAAATTTTCTTCTGTGTTATTAAATTTGGATACATTTTTTTAGTATATAATTACGTTTTATGCGACAACTAGATTTTAGCACTCGACGCCACGTGAGCAGAACTGGCGGCATCGCGTTTACTCGTATCATTTACGTGACACATGCATACAACAACACTGGCGGTATATTTTCATGACAATTTCTGTAAAACACTAATTGACATAATATATCAAACTTCACAGACGTTCGCTTGCGGCTTTGGATATGTGCATGTGATCAAAACGAAATAGTCAGAATATCTACTTACCCCTTTTGCCGACAGGCTTGAATGTATTTGTACACTTCTTAAGATACTAAATCAGCAGATCTGCTACTTCGCAACGAGGTCCACGATTTCATTTCGTGCCCATAGAGGCTAACGGTCCCTTGTGTAGCGTAGAATGTTCCCACATAAAGAAAGTTTTGCTTTTTAGGGTTCCGTACCCAAAGGGTAAAACGGGACCCTATTACTGAGACTCCGCTGTCTTTCTGTCCGTCTGTCACCTGGTTGTATCTATGTTGCTATGCTGTATATGAATGGTGATAGCTAAACAGTTGAAATTTTCACAGACGATGCATTTCTCCTGCCGCTATAACAACTAAAAAAATACTAATAAGTAGAGTAAAAAAATATTTAAACGGGGCTCCATACACAAGACTTTATTTTTGTTTGTCATTTTTATAGATAATGGCACGGAACCCTTCGGGCGTGAGTCCGACTCGCACTTGGTTTTTTCTTGAAAGCCAAATTGCTTACGGTCGACGGGTAGGCCTCACGTTTGCGTAATTTCGTTTTATCCTCGAGACGTTGCTCCGGTTTCTTTTTAAAGTTTTGGCATTTCTCGAGTCCGTCCCTCGTTAGATAAACGAAAGCTTTTTTTTCTTCTTCCACTTTGAACGTTCAGTGGGAGTGAATGAATTCTACTTTTCGATGGCAGTTCATCCTTACTTTTTATTAATATAATAAACGCGAAAGTTTGTATGTATGGATGGATGTTTGTTACTCTTTTACGCAAATACTACTGAATGGATTCTAATGAAACTTTAAGCTTATACATCAGAATAAGACATAGGCTATAATTTATATACATATTTAATGTATATCTGCCTTTCTGTGTGACTGTTACGCCATAAGCCTATTCTACGTAGACGTAGTCGCAGGTAGCAGCTAGTCATACTATACAGGGTGGCTTTTCTAAAGGTGCCCAAACTCACACAGGTGGTTCAGACTCGGTAGTATATGAATTTAATCAATTAATTAGAAGTGATTTTAAATATTTATCATTTTTTATATAACATTAATGTCTAGAATTTAATTTTAAAAAATGGATACACTTAGAAAAGCCTACCTGTATGTGTGAAGATACAGTTACTGAATTCGCTTAGATTCATATTTAATATGGTTTGCAATCTGCTTAATGCGTAATGAATCTAAATGCACAATACAACTATTCTAACTACGAGGATTTTTTTATTAATGAGATGAATAAAATGAAAACAGTTCCAGTAGCGTCTGCCTATTAACGATAGGTAATAGATATTATTATTTACATTTATATCATTTGTTCTTGTACCCAGTTGTCGTGTTATAAGACATTTTTAAAACAGAAACGGTCCCACATTAAAGTATTGTAACACAAGAATTATTATTTTTCCTCGCTTTCTATATCGAATTGTTTTACGGCCAGTTAAATTAACCGTCGAATATTACAGCAACTTCCGCGGAAAATTGAGGTCCGCCAACGAATAAAACGTAAGCACCGCCGTAAAAACCATTCCACCTTCCGCTCAGGTGTACGCACCGATTGTAACTTACCAAGTCATATAAAATTATACGATGCAGAGGATCACGGGGCGATGTTATTATTTTCTTCTGTAGAAGGTCTACTATATAAAGGTGTCATTAAAGGAAGAGATAAATAAAAGATTTGGAAATTAAAAAGATTCTCTCCTCTTACCAAGTGATCTTCGATAATATATTTTATAAATAAATTTTAACTAGTGATGCCTTATTTATCATGGATCTATCGCAAGTGCTCTCTGTAAAACTGTTTAAGTTACCACTCTAGATTTGCAGATTTACGGAATCTTAAAAGGATTGGCTTATACGATTGATGTTTTTTTTTAAATAACCTGTCTACTTCATGTCAACCGACTTCCACTCAGTATACATTTTCAATTTGATTTTGAGCAGTTCAATGAAATATATGAATCAATGGAAAAATAAATGTTAAAAAAGCAAATATTAAAAAAATACAATCCAATTGGGAATATTATATCGGTTGAAAAAGTACTCGTCTGATCTCCGGGACCTCTTACGTAGACTTCGAACCCGACAAGGCTGCGGATTACGTTGATTGGAGCCTCACAAGATATACAGATATAGTCAGGTAGTGTGAAAGTGTTACCCTTAGTCGCACTAATTGACCTGCAACCACGACGTGTGGTAGTGGCGAAGTGAATCACGATCACGAGCCTCCGCTCGTTTCTAGAACCTCTCTTAGTCCGAGTTGTTTTTTCCGCTCCCCGGGAATTTTCCGGGCGTGCCGACCGGAGTTGCTAATCCCGGTCAGGCCCGATCCTCGCCAGTCATGATTTACACGTATAATAGCGGATGGCCTCCGGGGAAACGCGGCTGAGCGGTTTTTTTCCCCTGGCTCTGCGCTTTACGGCTTAGTTGAGTGGAGTTGGCGAGATTGTTGCCCGGATATCCTCGAAATGAACTTACGACTATTTGTATTGCGACAGACAGATGATTGTTTAAAACTTAAAACAAAACTATGGAAGTAACTAACTTCTGATTATTTTCCATGTTAGTACCGTAAAAATGGTTTTGATAATAGAAACAATTATTAAAATATGTAGAAAAAGTACGAAAAGATGGTCGTCGCTGTGCGAATCGAACCCACGTCTTCGGCATTCGCGGCCTGAAGCTTTAACCACTAAGCTCCTTCTTTTTGAACTTCCTGACGCTTTAACTCCTTCTTTTTTAAGTTGGTTAAGGCGTCCCTACCGTTAGTTTTTAACCTACTTTAAAAAATACTATAAATACTATATATATATATATATATATATATATATATATATATATATACTACGTCCAACAAATATTCAGTCCGATTCCGGTCTCCATTTTCAATCTTCTTACCAAATAGGCTTGCGTAACGTCTAATCGCGAGTCTCCTTTAATCCGCGCAGTCGTAACGCGGTCGTTGCGTGAGATTGGCCCCGCGCTGGGGTCCATAACCGTTTGGGAGTTCGCTAGAAGGACCTCCGCTCCTCGGGGCGTCGATGTTTCAATTCACTCCTCTTCCTCCGTATACCGATCAGGTTGGATGGAATAGTGATTGCGGTGAGATTGTTTATAGTTTCCCTGACGGTTTGGCGCCTTTTGTATTTTTTTTATCTTCAACGGAAAAAAGGTTTTGTGAACTAAAAGCTAGTAAATTTATTTATTCAATATAGAAACATTACACTTACTTATTGATTGTCAAAAAACATTACTACCGGTTCGGAAAGAAAGCCACCTGAAGGAACCGGCGAAAAAAAACTCAGCGGGACTTTTTTTTTTAAATTAATTTGACACGTGGTACGTGAGCAGTTTCTGTATCTTTGAGTATAGTTTTTATTTTGATTTTATATACATTTATTGCTAGGTTACTTAAGAGATGAACAGTGTTACATTTGACGTTTGTCTCGGGTCTGTATAAATTCTAATGTATGTATATAATTGTATTAAATGACATGAATCAATATGAGTGTAATAGATAACGATTAAGAATATATTCATGACGTGTCTTTTAATTATTGTTCGACGCTTTAAACCCCAAAAGTACATACATGATGGTGTATGTAAAGTATTCTTGACCGTATTATTTATAATTCCGATAAATTTAACCTATCGACAAATTTAAGTAATACTTATTGTTTATCAACAGAGAGCGAACACTCTATTTCTAACCTTCATAATCAGATGCCTATTGGAGAATCGGAAAAAGATTACCCTAAATCGGGAACACGGCCGTCAATCCACATCGCTCCCGCTAGACTGAAACGGGTCAGAGCCACCGGAACGGACCTCAGTCACGCGTCTATGGAGAAAATATTCGCATTCGACAGCCGAGGGTGACTTTCAAATCACGAGAAATCATATCGAGGGCGTAGAGAGGGCCGGGTACAGGTCAATGAGACGATTTACATTCGTTCCCGGGCCGGCGGCGACGACGTCGCCTCCCGTCGACCTGCGGCGATAGAGATTTCAGACAGTGTATACACTAAAAACTCCAACCAATTTCTCAAAGTAATTGATTATAACATAACAAATCACTCAAATGATATCCAAAGTGGCCTCCAAAAAGGCTTTGCGTCGCGTCGCTGACATTCGCACAAAGAAGAGGTAAATCAGAGAGGATACAACACTTCCTATGAATTGTTGAAAATCATGATTATTTGACTTTGACTTTAAAGTATACGGACGCACAATATATAACATTCTTGTGTACCACAATTTGCAATACAATTTGTAACGACCTAATTCCTTCATTATGCAACTTTCATGTAAGCTCAAACAGTATGTTTTCTTTAACTCAAAAATAATCAAGAAATCACCGTTCGCGTAACATCACACTTTTCGTAGCGTCGATCTTACTTTTCGTAACGCTCTCGTCACGCATTCACCCGCTTACCCCCCAAGTCATGCGTAATGAAGTTTTACTTAAAAAATTATAAATTTATGAGTTATTGACTCGTCGGGTTCATTATTTTGGGGCGTGGCTATGTGACGACGCTTTGCATGTATGGAGTGCGGACGCATGTGTGAATGCATGCAGTGTATCGACGTGTTCCACCTTACATTGTTTATCAATTGCCTCCACGTAAGATAAAATGCGAATGGTTTAATCGGTCAGCTCGTCGACCGCTAATGCACGCCGTTACAAGGCTACGGTAACCACGCGGAACAAAACATTTGCGTGATCCACTACGATCTGTTCAGAGTCTTTGTGCACGTGATAAATCCCTAGTTGGGCAGTTTTGTCTAGTAATGTGTATGAGATATTCTGTGTATGAGAGATTACTAGACATTTTAATGCAACCCTAAAAAAATCAATGTTAATAAAACGTCGTCCAGTTGACCGTTGGTTTCAATAGAAACATCGATCCATTATTAATGCGAATTGATTTGTGAATTCCTCTCTCGTAGCTGCAAAGCAAGGGGATCATTCACAATTATCCGCAGCGTTCGCTTTGTTTTGCAAAAACCTTGTTATTTCAACCGGTCAGGCCAATACATTGGCTCCCAATCGACCCACCCTCCCTACCCCCAATTTGCCGTGTACCGTCATTGCGATCGGTCCGGATCGCAACACTGACCTCTGGGACCCGTGATGATTTCATCTGGCATTTCACTTTGATCGCGACACGTACAATACAACCTACGAATTCCGTATTATTTATTTGAAGTACAACAACGTCACATTTACTTTCGTTCCGCGCAGTATACAGTGTGTCGCTACTAACGCGACCATAAATCAATACACATATAGAGGATAACTTATTAAAATTGTATTAAACATTTACAGTCTTTACAATACAGAGTTTAAAATTTTGTTTCTTTTTTATTTAATTAGTTTGTTGGAAAAATAGTTTTTTTATTATGGATTTCTTTTATAATTATTGGCAAGTGGCTTAGACGTCTGTTCATTTATTGTCGCGATTGTTACGACAAGCTGTATTACAAAGTATAATAACTTACGAATAATGTTATTAATGGTATCAGCTAGGTTTTTTACCACCAGTCCTTACAAACCCTACTTGGGAACAGACACCCAGATCTTAAACAATTATCTAAACCAAAGCCCCTGGGTATTGAGATATAGCCTCCCAATTTAACAAATTTTTATAATTAGTCGTCAGAGCTTGCCTCAGAATGGTTCGTAGCCTGTAATAATGGTTTTGTTTATAAATGGAAAATTAATCGAATATCGTGCAATTTAATTTATCTTTTTCGCAAACATTTTAAAGAAAGGCACTTTTTAATTAATATAATGAAATATAGGTACTTATTATTTGTACTAGTAATATTGGTTATTCTATAACAATTTGATTTGCCAACAAAAAAAAATTATGCGAAGAAACAAAGGAACAAAAATCGAAAAGTATTTAAAATATCTGTTTTGTTTTGCAGGTACTAAAACCAATTCAGTGTATCAGGATAAGTGGACTCAACAGGTATCGACTCGCATCACTTATGAATATGCGCTCAGGTAATACCGGATAATCTAAGCCAATGGTTCTCAAAGTGGGCGTTACCGCCCATCAGTGAGCGCTGAGGCTATTTATTGAGCGGGCGATTGAAGCTTTAAATCGGTACCCTACATGTATTTCTATGAAAAATTTTGATGTACACTTTTTCGGGCGCGTTGAATATTTATGTTTTAATAAAGTGGGCGATACCCCAAAAAAGTTTGTGGAACACTGATCTAAGCGAATAGCATTTTATCGTGACCTCAGCCGAGTCTGTAGGTCGAATCGTTTTCTAATGACTTTGGCCAATATAAACAGCAAGCTTTCAGGCACAATTATTTATAATAATATGACCCTTATATAATAATAGCTCGGCATTGAGCAAACCCTCTGTACAGAGGAGGTGTTTGCCCAACAGTGAGTTTTAGATAGGCTGTTACTTTACCGTCATTGAGCTTTGCACGTCGTGTCTAACACTAATTGCCGAAACGTGTCACACATACGGCGCACAGTGGCGACACGTTGTCGGGCAACGAGATCGATGACGTGACACGTGGCTTACGTGCCGACGCCCCGGTGGGCTCGGGTAACTCGCCCCCGCTCTACTCGCGTGATGGACGGGCATGACTCGCAAATCGTCCGCGGGTCACGTCATCAAAAACCATTGGTATACCTATCTAGTTGTAATTATAAGCGTGTTAGTGTCGGGTTTGCAGATTTTAAATTAAAACATTAGTCCTTTTTAGAAACACATTTTGAATACTGAAAGATAAAATACTATCACATATATAATATGAAACAAAAAACCTTAACATATTTTAAATATGCTCAAGACGCTAAAACTATTTTTCAACCCGGCGAATATTTAATCAATGACCCAGATTTTAAACCCGTTTCTTCTCGTATAAGGAGTAATTATGATAACGACCAAAGCCAGTTAATTAAGAAAATTTATTCTATCTCCGCCACTTTTTTTTACATAACCCTAGTTTAGTAACTTGCCTTAATATATTCTTACTATTCGCTGCATTCATTTCTTAAAACTCATTTCCATTTTATTTAAGAGATGAACTTACTGCCGTTTTAGATACGGAAATGAGTGGATATATGGAATTTTTCTCAGAAAATTCTTCAAGTCACGTAACTCGTATGAGACAGTTATTAGAGTTTCTTTCGTTTTCGTCTAAAATTTCATCATCATCATCATTTCAGCCTGTTTGAATCCACTGCTGAACATAGGCCTCCCCCATAGGCCGCCACGAAGTACGATCCTGAGCCACCGGGCTCCAACGACTTCCCGCACATTTGCACAGTGTAACATTTGCGTTGTGTATTTGAGACAGTTAACGGCGAAGTTGTTCGAACAATACACTTCGCCTGCAACCGTTGCACGGATGCTGTGGAAGCTGCAGATGTAATTTCGTCCGACGGCGTGTTTAATTGCCCAACTTGGGCTTCATTCCGCTCGACGGGAGGCCCGGGCGCAGTGGAGTTTGGAAACGACAGTGTAGTTGCACCCGCTTCGCTATATTGTTTGCGGTGTTCGTTTGTCTGTTTGTTTAAACTCGTTGTTTGTTAGGCAATGCTTTAATGGATGATTTACCACGCTGCGTTTAACTTTTCTTCTGCGTCACGTATGATGACTTCGTGGCGCAGTTGCCAAGGTATAGGCTTCGGTGTCGGGGGTCGTGGGTTCGATTCCCACACGGGACAACTATTTGTGTGGCCCACAGATAGTTGTTTCGCATCTGGGTGTTTGTCCGCGTTTGTAAAATTTGTTTTGTGAAATTTATGTTTGTAAAATGTCCTTACAACACAGGATAGTTTTATCCTAAAGTAAGGGCAATGTTTTTTAAAATAAAAAAAAACAAAAATAAAAAAAACGTATTGGCCGGTTTGTGCTTGACTGCAATAAAAACTGCATGGTGATGGAGTCGATGGTGGCGAACGCACTGGCCCAGTTGAAGCAATGTCAACTTAAATTCTCCCTCTAATCTCTCTTCTTGAAGTCGTAAGGAAGGGAGCTTTAATGGTGGTATGGCCACGCAACACTGTTGCACGAATGGGCCGGTCCGTCCGGGTAAGTACCACGACGTCACAGAAGACCGGCGTAAAGTAGAAGTGTTACACTTCTGCGTTTCGTCTGGTGAGTGAGGTAGCCGGGGCCCACTTTACTTAAAGGTGGCAACGCATTTGCAACCCTACGGGTGTTGCAAATGTCCATGGGCGGTGGTTATCGCTTAACATCACGTGAACCGCCAGCTCGTTTGCCACTTTCTCACATAAAAAAAAGTTTGTAAAATAGCAGGGTTAGCAAAAGTCAGTTTTAGCAGGCAAATTAATCTTTTCTGTTTGAAAACAATTACCATAAATTTTTATGTAATAATTATGATAAATTTATTATTAGATGAATTAGTAAAATTTACTTGTTTATCATTGATTCGTTAAATTTTATGCTGTTCCAATTCCAATCGATCATTAGGACTTGTGTACCTAAAGTATTCAACTTTAAATCATTGCGTAGTACTAGCGCGCTGCCCCGCCTTCACAAGGGTAGAAGTAATTAAACAAAAACACATCTGTTGATCCGATCGCTACCAAACTACACAGGATCGACCGCTCGGCCTTTTTGAAGATTTTGAAAACTTTATCAAAATCGATCCAGCCATTATGAAGTCCATATGGAACGCACATACATCGATTTTCAGTTCTTGGAAAGATCGAAGAGATGAAAATCGATGTATGTTTGAAATTATATATGTATATTGTATAAAATATATATTTGTAAAGAGGCATTCTGATTCGAACACCAACATAGTTTTCCGCAAGACAAATAAGCCGCTTATATACGAAATTATAAATATGTACTAGATTTTAATCAAACATTAGGTTATCATATTAAAAAGAGTCGTAATGAATATGGCAGAAACACACCTTTATCATCTTTGTTGAATGCATTCAATTCAACATTTCAAAATTATGATGTGGATATCCGTTTTGATAGCTTAAATATTTTAAAGAGGAAGGTGCTAACACATTACACAGCCCAATAATTTTTTAATTTTAAAAGTTTTTTTTCCTTCCTCTCTTTTTTATATTTATACATTATATAAGTTAGTTTTTTTTTTTTTTTTTGTTTGTTCTAATTTTATTATTTTATTGTAGTGATAGTTTTATAGGTTACTGTTCTCCTTAAAGGAAGACTTTTCTTAAATGTTGTGTTTACCTTTAATTTAAATGCATATATACAATGTTTAAGGGCACCTCATAATAATTGTTTCTATATGTATTTAGTTTGTAAGCCTTGTTAAATAAATAAATAAATAAATAAATTAGGTCTTGTTTAACGATGTGGCACAGCCTTTTTTCTCTTCGGAACAAGTCTTTTTTAAACATCAAACTAACTAGTGCTTGATTACCATCCTATTTGATAGTAAGCAACGGCTGCAGATGATACATTCTTTGAAAGTAAACGTCCACTATGGCCCTCTCATCCTGGCCCTAAAGAATCATCTTTAAAGCACTACTATTATTAGTGACACTTACCTCTTTGTCGCTTTTTGACTTTCTGCCTAAAATTGCAAATTATAATTCGTATGATAAATGAGACGCCTCGGCGTATATCGATTTCAATTTAGCGAAGCGCAGCTTTGACTGATATTACTTCGTCGTTGTCACGCCCCATGTCATATCTTTCGCCGCGTAGTCGCTGATTTCGTTAAATCTCTCGAGCGTCGTTTTCAAATTACTCTCGAAATTTGTACACGCACTCATCAACCGATTTCATCGTCGCGGCGAGCGGATTCTATCGCAATTACTTTAGATTCGCAATGTATTGGATTTGATTCAATTACTTTAGGATATACTTTGGCCTGACTCTATTAGCGGTAAACGAGCGAATTTTATCTATATATTTGTAAGAGATTTCCACCTATAATTGACTCATTACGATATCTCTGGAACCAAAAGGCGTAGAGACTTGAAATTTGGTAAAATTATTCCTTTCGCCGAGTAGAGGTCAGCTAAGAACGAACTTTACGAAATGTCACCTGTTGGGTTCGCAGGTTTGTTATATATATAGTTTAAGAAACACCTTTGTGTACCTATTGGCTTCGCGATGGATAATTTGATCAACAGATAGTTGTTCGGGATTTGGGTGTTTGTTGCAAAAGTAAATAATGTCAGGCCGCTCGTGAAAAAACCTGGTTAGATTTACCACTAATAATAGTACTCACATGTGATAACGACCCCACCTAGGTGAGATAAGGATGATGATGATTCGAAAATAAAACTGCATAAAAAAAATTAGTTCAGTTCTACGGGTATTTTCATAAGTGAAATATCATGACAGCACATGGTAATTGACCAGGTGACCACATCCGCGCTATCCGTGCAGTTGAAAGTACGGAAGAGCCAGCTGTCATCATTGTGGTTATCAATGTGGTTTTCGTACCATCATAAAGCAATCAAAGGCATAAGCTCGCATGTTTCGACCCTAACGGGCTAGACAACGACGTCTCAAGCTCTCCACACTTCAACTAAACTAGCTTATTCAGATCGAAAGGTGACACGTGGCAGTATTGTCGCCGTACACGTGGTAATATACAAAACGTATTTGTACATAACTGTGGGATTGTTCCTAAAAGAAAATAGAATTATTATAAACTTAAAAATGAGTAACTAGAAACTTCAGTTTTTATTTAGACGGACGGATTAGAATTGTAAGGAAGATAGAACGAAGATGTCAATAATGGAGGATAGTTGTAACTTTGAAGACGTAAAGATGTAAATGAAACAATTGGTAGGGTGAATTAAATAAACATAAAAACTGAAGAATTAGTGTTTCCGTGTACGGGATTGTATCCTACATATATATGCACAAAAATTGATGTAAGATATCACGGAAACTTAAATATAACCCTTCTTTATTTTCTTTATTTTTTTTAAAAGGAAACATGATGTAATAGAATAAATTTAAATTAGAATTGGAATCTAGAATCCGATGTGAACTCTCGGTCTCGCATTATAGAGCACCCTATCAGCGCTGTCCATAAATCTAGGCTCTTTGAATGCGACCATTTGAGCGGACCGCGAGGCTCGACCGAGGTCTATTCTAGATATGATGAAAGTGAAGAAATATATCGATATTTATAAAAATATCAATATCGGCCCCGCTATATCGAAGACTAAATACCGATATTTCGATATTTTCTTTTTTTGTTCAAAAGAAAAAACGTTGGTAAGGCAAATATTAAATATTTGAATGTACGGTCTCTCGAATTAAAAAAAAAATTTACACGATTACGATATTGAATATGATAATAATATCGGATCAAAATGTATCGGTCAAAAATATTTATGCATTTAATAAAAAAATATCGATTATATCGTTTTTTCGGCATCCCTAGTTTATTCGAGGCCTCGGGGGCGAGTCTGCATTTTATTGAAATCACGGACCGTACGTCTATAGCCGGGATACAAAGCAAGCTCAGCGGTTGCTTTCTTATCGTGTACCCTATTATTATACGAGCATCGCATGTGATGAAAATTCAGACGATATTGTGTTGAAGAATTCTGTACGTATGTTTGTAGAGTCAGCCTTAGCATGAACATGTATTTATATT